CAGACAAAGCCAAAGTAATGTTTCATACCTTTAGCATTTACCTGCCTTTGACGTAAGGATTCATTTTCGTGTTGTACATCATTTCTTTCCAGCTGGGTAAAAAAATTTTTTAAAAAAAATACCCATCTAGTCAGTAGTCTGGAGATAAAAGTTGTGACAAGACGTCATGAAACCCAACAGCTGATGACAAGAGACAGGTCTTGGAAAGATGCATGATGGCAGATTTAAGATAGCCCAGTGACACAGTAATCTCATATGCAACGATTTCGGCATTAAATCATAAATTGCAATAAATGTTTGTTTTAAAAATATCAAATATTAAAATTTCTTCATAAAGTTGTATACAAATTTTGAATGATGCTTTCCATCAGAACTTTATTAACATTCGGATGACTAATTTTACCTATTGCGCATCTTCTTTCCTTAGCATATTAACAAACATACTCCTAATAGAATGTTGAAGCTTTTGAGAAGGAAAAACTTAGATGACATTAAAATAAAGTTATAGTTTGGTGCAGCTTCTTTAGTAGAATATTTGAAAGCTGGGCTGAAAAGTTTTTTTCTGAGACAAGAAAGTTCTTTTGACATCTCTTTGGTTAATATGATCAATTTTTTATTATACAAGGGTCTTAAAAATCTTAATACAGCAACATTATTAGCAGAAAGCATAATCAAGAAAAGAGCAGCTATACGTAACTACTCTAACTGAGAGTGATGTCCGAATCTGAGAAAATGTTATGGCTTATCCTTGGATACAATGACACCAGTGACATCAGAAGGCAACTCAATAAAAAATTGTATAAAGTGCACATGATTTCACATCCGGCGGCATGTAGACATTTTTTTCCCCCTAAAACTTATCATTAAGAGGAGCCCCATTTTCAAGCTTTTCTGATGACATCAAAAGCCATTAACAAATTCTTGCAAAAAGTGGACGCATGTTTATATCTTCATCTTGTACTTATTTCATAGAGTTTACTATTTTTTTTTAAAAACTCTTGAAAGAAATATTAAGCTTTTGACAAGGTTAAATATTTCCACTGCTTCTAGTTCTACTTTTAAGTTCAAAGATGAGCAACTGGTGTAATTTTAAATTTTTTGTTTAAAGTGTAAGATATTACATTAAACTTAACTTACACAAAGACCTTCTAAGAGCAGCGGCAAGATAAAGCGACTCAGAAGGTTTAGACGCGACTGAGAGAGAAAAAATGCATAATAAATAAATGATATAACGATTAGAAGGGAGTTGAGTATCAATACATTAAAGTCTCTAGGTATGAAAGTATAGTGTAACGGTGATTTCAAAAGTGTGCAAAATAAAATTCTTATAACTCCACTAAATGGGATTCTTAAAAATAACCCATGAGATTTTGGTGCATAATATTTTCTTTTGTTTTAGGGAAATAGTCTCAATTTAAATATGGTGTAATAAATATGGGGCATAAAACGGGGGGTGGATGAGAAGTTCATGCATCACCACCATCATAGTTTGGCGGGTTATAACTAGTGTGTTATAAGTAAGCTGGGTATGACATTGACACAATGAAAATTCTGAAAACTCCTGTGACATGGAACGCATAAAGAGCACAGCGAAACACCAAAAAAAACAAACAAACAAACAACAACACTGCTGGTCATCTACTGAATCCTGGTGTATGATTTGCAGTTGTCTCGACTAAGTTTTGCCATTGGATGACATAGGCAAGGACAAGAGAGTGACGCTGACAAATCATACACCAGGATTCAGTAGATGACCAGCAGTGTTGTTGTTTGTTTGTTGCAGTTGTCTCGACCAAGTTTTGCCATTGGATGACATAGGCAAGGACAAGAGAGTGACGCTGAAAAATTGAGTAACCCCCCCCCCCCCTCACTTTAAACAAAAAACACACCTTCGAAGGATAAACAATAATAATAATTAGTGTGTTATAAACAGGGCCGGCGCTAGACATTTTTAGGTCGGGTGAAAATAGGCAATTGTCGCCCTCTGGAAAATTATGGGAAGAGTTCATAAAATTATTTTTTTTTATTTTAACTAATTTTGCCGTCTTCATGAAAGTGTCCTGACTGAATCACTCATTAACACAGAGACCAAACCATTAAACCTAAGAACATGAAATTGAAGATAGATATGTACTGTGTTGAAAAGAAAAAAAAAACAAAAAAAAAACACTAGCTAGCTAGTAATCTTAATAATAGGACCTAATCAAATGATTGTGAATTATTAATCAACAATTAGTATTTACTAAATTCAACCCAAGTAACTTTATCACTAGGGAGGTTTAGTCCAAGAATTTAGATTTAGCAATTAAAAATTAATTAGTCCTAATTAATAAGTAATCTAAGTAGATTTATTACTAGCATCTATGTTAAGCCTCTATGCCATTCATCAGCCTATCTGTTACTATTATTACTTGGGCTACAGTTAAACACTTCAAAACAGTATAATAGTAATAGTATAAACTACAAGTATCAATGATACCAAGTAACGCCTAGTACTCTACTAAAACTAACGAAGTGCAAGTAAGTCAAATTTTATAGTCACTCCTCATATAAGTTAATATAATAATTATTTAGGGCATTTGGCCTTTTACATGTGATTGTCTTAGTTAAGTAGTAGCGTATTAGAAGTCTAAGAGGTCACCCATAATTATTGTAATTAATTTTTTTTTTTTAAAAGGGGGTGGGGGGTGTTAATCACATTTTTGTGACCTTCAAGGATTAAGCAATGTGACATAACATAATTGTAACAACATGCACTGAATTAAAGTAATTTTTACAATTATTTTTTTTTATAAACACCAATTTTTATTTCATTCTTTTATGTTTGTGAATGTTTGATTGTTGGTTGATTGTATTTGATTCAATGTTTTCATTTTTACTGAGTCAAACGCTACTATGGAGAACTGGTACACAGTTATGAAAGGTCAAGGCCCACCCGATCAGTAAAATTAATGGACATGATTAGGTTAGGTTTAGGGATACATTTAGGACATAAGTTTGCAGCAACCAAAGTAAAAAAATGCGGTGCTATCTCATTACATTTACTGCAATTGGCGTTATTGGAGGAAGGCTAGGATGCTATTACCATAAATGATGATGACGAAAACAATTGTTGATTAAAGTATCGATTAGTAATAGTCTTAATAGACTAATAGTATAAGTTATTAAGTATAAGTATGCCTACGTCTAGGTGAAGTAAGCAAGAGTCTGAAAGTTCAAAGTTGGTTAGTATCAGAAAAATGAAAACTGCTACCAACCAGCAACACTAAGCATATAAATATTCATTCATGTAGGCGAAGGGTAAAAGTAAAAGAAGGTAATAGGCTCCATTTGGGTGTTAAACCCCAATTGCTCAGTTCATAAAATAAAATGCTTGATATTATTGTATGAAGACAAGAGAAAGGTATTAAGCTCTACTTGATAGAGACTTACAAACCAATCAGTATGAAATTATGATAATATAAGACAAACAAAAGTCAAAGGTGCAGTGAATTTGACAGTCATAATAAAATATGTTGCAAAGTAGAAGATGGGTTAAATCTAGACAGCTAAATACTTGTAGAAACTAAGACAGTGATAGGGCCTAGTCCTAGTCCTAGTAAGCTGTAAATGTAAGAACCTACATAATCATCCCAATCCCAGTCTCATGATCAGACAAAGTAAACACTTCAGTTTTAAAAACAGAATTTATCCCTGTTACTGGTTGTGTTAGGGCTAGGGCCTAGTTAAATAGTACAACTACAGTGTAGTGTAGTGAAAATTACAATTCATAAGCCGCTAAGCCTAATGAGTTAGATTCAACTGTCAACTGAGTGTTAGAAAGACTTTAAGAGTAAGAATAGTTCGTAATTGTTAATGCTAATAATATAAGTGAAAATCAGAAAATGGTTATTTGGTATTTAAATTTTTATATTTATATTTCTGTATAAACTAAACTGTATGACAACTAATAATCAACTATTCATTGAATCATTGAAGTCAGTACAATGTACAAAAAAGTGTATTAGTATTAGTAATACTAGTATAAGAATTGCTAGATAAAATACAATTGTACATTTATTAAAAACTATAGCATTTAGAAAACAGATTAGAATGAAATAATGAGCCTTACCTTAATACCCTGGTAGTTAATATTAATAAATGCGCTTGAAAAATTACAAAAATAAATGAAATGTAATGTTTGTTTTCTCAACCTCCATGTTTTGAGAAGAAACGCTGACCTCTTAGAAGTGACCCCAAGTCAAAGCTGATTGGTCAATCTGTTGGCGCGAAACAATATTTTTAGAATCAGCAAGGCACTAAGAAAGAAAATCGGGGAAATTTTAACAACCATTCCTTCTTCTTTCTTACTTCCCTTTACCTAATTTACCGTAAAACCATTTTATAAATCCAATATTATCTAATGCACATACGAAGTCACTATTTGTAAAACAAAGAATAATCTTTTATGATGAGTTGAAATAAAGTCTGACAACAGTTTACGTCTTTAAGAACCTACATAACGTTTCGGATTCAAAATAAAATTTAAATAACGTAATTTTGAATTTAAAAAAAAAAAGATGTGTACTTAGTTATTGTTTATATTAATATTATTTACTGTATTTTACTCAACAATTACAGGTATTTATTTTTTTAAAACTAATTTAAAAAACAATCGTTTATTGATTAGTTCAAGCTGTTTTTTTCAGTTCACACAACCCTACCTTACTCGCAGTCTCTATCTTTTTTTTCAATTTATACTTACACCCTATAATTATAATTAAAAAATACGACACATATGTAATTTAATGAAAATTTAGTAATTATTAAAAGTGCGATCAATTTTCATAACATCAAAAATAAGTTTTAATTTTTTTAATTGCTTATTGGATTAGAGACAGTTTTTTTTCTCTTTCTTCTTCTTTTTTTTGTTTGCATGGTAATTGGAGTAAATTTAATAGGGTATTAAAATTTTCATATTTACAGTATGAGCTTATAAGAAAATATTCTCTCAGGCGCCATCTTGAAGTCTGAGCAGTGCATGGCGGTACTGAACAGGGATTTTTGGGTAAGTTTTCCCAGTGTTCACTGTTTTCGGGCTCAGTTCCTGGGTGGTCAAGGTCCTGATGTTGGGTTTAAGTCGTGAAAACCTCAGGAACAAATAAAATATTACAATTTTAACGTTATTGGTCAAAAAATGTCCACCCGTAGCGTCGAGCATTCATTGTCATTACGATCGTAGCATTGCTCACAGCCTAAAGTAGTTCAAAATGGAGTAACTATCGCGAGAATAGTCTTCGTTGGCCGTACCGTGAAACCTCTGTCTATCGAATGAATGAAAAAATAAATTTAATAAATAAAGAATACCAAATTAGTTGCATTTTGTTTTTGTATAATTATTATTTGTTGAAAATATCCCACAAGCAGGACAATTAGTTTTTAATTGGGTCATCCAAGAAGCAAGCCATAGTGTTCAACAAATTATTATTTTTTTAAAATTGAAATAAGAACTGAAATGTTTCTCTGACCCCTACCAGACCACAGGACACTTGAAGTATGAGTGAATCCAAGACCCAAGTACTACTCTTAGTCTACAGCTTAAAGTAGGCTTATCAAATCCTGAAAGGAAAATTAAAAGATAGGAAATGGGATAATAATACATTTTCAATTAGTAGTAGTCTAGTAGGCCTAAAACTATAATTATACCAGTATACTATTTTATACCATTCTTAAATCATTTATTAAAAATCTTTTATAAATGAAACAAGGGTTGCCAGGTCTGCTAAAAAAAAAAAGGGGGGGGGGGGGGGGGGGGGTAGAAAAATAAAAAATAATTTTATAATAAATTATTATATTCTTACAATTACAAACATTTTAACACGTATTAAAGTAATAACTTCAAAACTTTACCCAATGGTCAATGGATATTCAATTCTTTGTCTCATTCTAACTTTATTTTGTTCTAACTTATGAAAAAAACAACCAAACATGATTCTCCTTTCCTTATTCTCTTATGTACAGCTTTAGATTTCGTACCATTTCATCATAAAGCTTTTGAATTTTAAAAAATGTCCACTATTTTGTGAAAAAAATAGTGAACATAATCATAATGTGAAAAAAAGCGGACTGTCTGCTCAAATAGTGGACACCTGGCAACCTTAAAGGAAACAATTTTTGGTGTCAAATCAATTTTTGAAACAAGAATTCTACATTGCACATGATAAATATTAATAAACTGAGCCTCCCCTTCTTTGCACATTTGACTCCAATGCCAATATGCCTATAAATAATACATTTTTTGCTAAACATACCTAAATTTTATAGATGGTCTGAAATTTGTGTTCCAAAAATGACTTGTCTGTAAGAATTTAAGGTTGTCCTTAAAATAATTGAAACATAGTTACAAAATCTTTTGAAGTTGAAAAAGAAAGGGAAAGTGTTTTTTTTCTATTTTTTTCCTGTTTGCTTTAAACATAGTTCATATAGGCCTAATGAAAGATTAAAATCATGAGAAATTCAACAATGATCAAAATTTCACCTAATTTAACCTCTTGGGATGGCTAGGCCAATCTGTTGGTTCAGGGTGGAGTAGCTAAAAAGATGAATGGCGATCTCTCCGACAGATAATTCAAGCCTCGAGATGGGGTGGCTGGCTGATCTTCACATCAGCTAATCAGATTGCTTCTTACATATTCCTGCACATCCTGGCATTTTGATGGTAGCCTTTGTTGATTGTTTTTGTTGTGTTTTGGAATTTATTTTGTGTTGCAAAGTAATTTTGTAAAATGCAAAAATGTGACACTGATCAAACTATCCTTACCCGGCAGTGATTTTGATACTGACACTGATGAAAACAACCAAGAAAGTAATGAAGCCGATCAAAATGATGATATTGATGATAATGTTGGGAACCCTTGTTTTAGTATTAACAGTCCTGAACTGGATAGAGATGACCCCTATATGCATTTTTAGGAACTATAAGACCTATAAATATGCCTCAAGGCATAAGCACCCCAGTTGAATACTTAATAGGTAAACAGACAACTTTCTCAGTAACACCCAGCTGAAGAGAAGGTCCCTGGGTCATAAATGAGGCCCTGTTATAGTGAGTATCTGTAGCAACTGAAAAATAGCAATGGGCAGGTATAGGAGTAGAACCATATGCCAGAGATGTCTAAAGGGTCTCCTTGGGCCTTTTTCTCCCAAAACACAAGTATTAGGACTTATTCAGTCGTCATCCATCAAAAAGTTAACTCAAATGATACCAGTAAGTCATGTTTATTCTAAGTGTAACAAAAAATTACACACATAAATTATGCAAATCAGGAAAACTCATTTGCATAAATGTTGAGATTTCAGAACGACGCATAAAGATTGTATTAGTTCATTCTATTTTCTACAAGTACAAAAATATACCGTTATATAGTTTTAGTTTTATACATGTAAAGGAAATGGTTTATTTTTAATAAGTTTTTGCTTATGAGTTTGCAGAGTTTGTAAGAAGTGCTTCGTCTTCGTGGCAAAAAGGCTCCGCCCCAAAAGGGTTAATAAAATATGCTCAAGAGTCAAACAGTATACAGAAATATTCATATAAATGTAATAATATTATTCATAAGAATATTTACCAAAGAGCGTCATGAGTCATAGAAACACATGGCTATGGATATTTGTGTTTTTTAAGTTTTATAGTTTCATTAAGTTTTCTAACAAAAATATCAGTTAACTTTGAAATATACTTTTCTTGCGGAATATGAAACAGATACAAATAAAAATGAAGATAAATGGAGGATGAAGAACACTAGTGTAAGGGGAGATAATTTTGGGATTAGTGGGTGTCCATTTAGTTCAACTTTTTTTCCACCCTTAACTGTTGTGACTAAAGTGGTAAAGGAATGAAGTTCTTTTCCTTCAAACTTCATTGTGATAAAGATAAGGGAGATGACTTGCGGCTACATCATTGGTTACTGTTTTAATTATGTTTTTTTTTTTTTATATTTATTTTTGAGGGCCCACAATCAAAGAATGGATCATTCTGGCTCCTATGTTTCAGAGGGGTTCGTGATTTTACTGTGCATGGGTTTCAAATGTAACTCATAGTGACTACCCAAACTAAATCTCTTCTCTGAAATGCATGCAAGAGTAAGTTTATAAGACTGCATCACAAAATGATATTATGGCAATTACCATAGGTGTATATGTCTTGTGATTATCTTTTCTTGGCAGACTCTGAAAGATCCTTAAAGGTATCCTTAAGAAATAATAGAGGCAAGAAATGACAAATTTCCACATGAGAGATTATTGAGGGTAAGTAAAACTTTCAAGGGAAGTTCAAAATTAATGTTAAATTTACTTTTTAAAATAGACCTGCAAAGGCTCACAGTGGATTTTGAAATCAAGTTATTATAAAAATAAGTATTATAATTTTTTTTTGTTTTTTTTCATACAAAGGATGACACTAAGATTCCATCCAATCATCACATAGGAACTTAAACTTATCAGGAGATAGTAGACGTCAATCTATGGACAATGTTCTGGACAGTCTCGGGGAGTCAAATTCTCTCTCACCCCTGTCTTCCAATGTCCATGACCATGATGAAGATTTTACAGGGCTTGGAGATCATTCAGGCGTAAGTTACATAGCATCTTTAGAGATTATAAAGCTATCCTCATCAAAATAATGTAATGATAATGTCATTTATTACTTATCACCTGAGATGTTTATTCTCGTTACGGTATATGAATCTCCTTAAAAAGAATGAATGCTGTGAAATCGGATGGGCTTTAAATCAACTTAAATGTTTTAGGGTGGAATGGAAGAAGCTAATCTGAACTCTGATGGTGATGATGATCTTGGTCACTCTGGTGATGAGGATGATGATCATGTCAACATTGTGTCATCATCAATGAATGGTGATGATGATGACCCCATTGGCCTGGGAGTATCAGGGGGACATCACTCTGAAGACATGCATCATGATGATGAAGGTTTGGATGGAGTGGAAACAGAGAATGAAGATATGGTGCACTCAGAAAACCTTGAAGAAGACAGCTCTCAGGTAATTTCTTTTGAAGTCTTTGTGGCTAGTATTTATATCTGGATTAAATCGACCATGCCTGTTGGTTGAGACAGAAACTTATAATAAAATGACATTGTAAAGAAACTCTTATTAAAGAAATGTGGTGGTTCCAGAAGAAAAAAAGACACCTATAACTATAAGTGGTTAGGAAATGAAAAAAATAAATAGATTTCTTCTTCTTTATTTTACTCTTTGATTCCAGGGCTTTAATTTCTTCTTTCAACTTTTATAAATATGCATAACTCATACATGCCAACCTGTCGGATAAAAAAAAAAAAAAAAATTGTACAGGGACTCCCCAGAACACTGAAAAAAAAAAAAAAAAAAAAAAATACATGTAAAAAAAAAAAAATAAAAAAATAAAAAAAAAAAAAAAAAAAATTATCCACGACCTCCCAAAAACACTGAACAACAGAAACAAAAAAAAATTTACCTAAAAAAAAAAAAAAATAAAAAATTAAAAAAAAAAAAAAAAAGATTATTTAAAACCTTTTCATCATTTTTTTCCCCCTTTGTTTTGAATAAATGCATAACAAATGAATAGTTCCCCCCATTGCTGGGCCTACATTTAAGCATATATAATTTTCTTCATTTATAAATGAAAATTTTGTAAGTCAGGTTTGTCAAATTTTGAGGGTTTTTTTCTTTTCTTTTACACTGGTCAATAGAAATTCTATTAAAAATGGACAGATGATGAATGTAATACCAGTTTAGATGTAATTAGATATAATTATTCTGTTAATTATGACAGACCCCTATATTTAAATAAACGAAGTTTATAACCTTATTTTTCACTGCTGTTTCTAAATTTAGATGGCCTCCTGATTCTCAAATTGGTCATTTAAATAGGATTTAAGCTTATTTAAGTTCAACATTGAATTTATTGCACCACCGGTTTGTATGTGTGTCCTGTGCAAAGACATTTATTTTCTAAATCCAGGAAAAAACTGTACAAAAGCCTGTATCACTTTACACCTCAGCAAATGTATAAAAACTTTACAGGTTGGCATGTATGCTCCCAAAGTCAGCCCCTGTCTGTGAATATAGCCTGATTATGTGTTTTCCATTTCCTCAGGCTACTTTAGATGAAAATAATGAAACAGAAAATCAGTTGGTCCAAGCATCTGAGGAGGAAGGCATCTTGTTAACCTCTGATGCTGCTGGAAACTTTTCAGTTCCAGTCACTGAACATGTGATTAGACTTCTTATGCAAGCATCAGATGTGAGTGACCTCATGTGGTAGGATAATATGAAATTTGCATAACAGGAAAGGCCTAAGTTCTTAAATAAGTTTTCCCAACATAACATTAAAAAAAAATGTATTATATTTTTTAAATAGTACAAGAGGGTTATTTCTTTACTTCAAGGGAATATGATTATTTGACATGGGTAAGTAACTTGTAATTAAATGATTTCATCTTACACTAAAATGTGTGAATAGCTAAATCAACACACTTAAAGCCATCATCAAAACTTTAGCTTTAAGCCTGTTATCAAAGCACACAGACCTACATAGTAATTAACATTATACTGTTCAGTTTTGTGTATGGGGCTATGAGAATGTTCACTTTAGAGATGAAAATTAAAAATTAAGAAAAAAGTTGAAGTTCTTAGATTTAAAAAAAATATTTATCTCTCTATTTTCCCAAAAACCCCTTTGTTTGCCCCTTTCACAATGGTAGAAAATTAGATAAACTACTAAAATAACTAGGGAAAAAAATGTTATTTTAATTTAATACGTATTTAATATCTGATCCTCAATTATAATTCACATGCTTGCATTCACAAAGATGTTATTTTCTCTTTTACACATTATTTCTCTTTTTGAGGGTGGGGGTGGGAGTACAGATGAATCTCGGTTAAAAATATACTTTGATTAAATAAAATATTAAATCAAATTAAACTTTAACTGAAAAGATATAAAAATGACATTTGTCAAAATTGAGTTTGTTTTACAGCCATTCGGCTTGAAATTCTGTGAAACATAATAGATTTAAGACATTGAAAAAAAAATTGTAATTGATTTAAAGAGCCTCCATTATCCTCTAAGATGGTCATGTCAGACTTTTTGTGGTAGCAGCTGTTTTATATGTTTAAGACTTGTTGGTCACGTTGTAACTGTTATGTTCCAGGGTTTATATGATTAAGACTTGTTGGTCACATTGTAACTGTTATGTTCCAGGGTTTATAGGTTTTAAACTTTAACTGAAAAGATATAAAAATGACATTTGTCAAAATTGAGTTTGTTTTACAGCCATTCGGCTTGAAATTCTGTGAAACATAATAGATTTAAGACATTGAAAAAAAAATTGTAATTGATTTAAAGAGCCTCCATTATCCTCTAAGATGGTCATGTTAGACTTTTTGTGATAGCAGCTGTTTTATATGTTTAAGACTTGTTGGTCACGTTGTAACTGTTATGTTCCAGGGTTTATATGATTAAGACTTGTTGGTCACATTGTAACTGTTATGTTCTAGGGTTTATAGGTTTGAGACTTGTTGGTCACATTGAAACTGTTATGTTCCAGGGTTTATAGTTTTGAGACTTGTTGGTCACATTGTAACTGTTATGTTCCAGGGTTTATAGATTTGAGACTTGTTGGTCACATTGTAACTGTTATGTTCCAGGGCAGTGTAGTTACCAATGGCTCAATGGGTGCCATCAAGTTCTCTGTGGCTAATATGATCACCAATGAGAATGGGGAAATAACACAGACTGTTCAAGCAGTGACCTTACCAGATGGCACAACCACCCTTATAAAAGATGAAATATGTGAGTATGTCATAACCAGAAATAGTTTTAAGTTTTTTTAATGGTAATTACATTTTATCTGAATTATTCTCCCTCCTCCTCACACACACGCATACGTTTTTGTTTAGGTCCATATTTACATATTTATTTTAAATTTGGCTTCTTCTAACCATTTTCTGGGAATTTCTTCCACTGGCAGCTTCTGAAGAGCAAGATTTACCAAAGTTTGTCGAAGGACAGACAATCAAACTTGAAGACGGAACAACAGCGGTGTTACGATCATCTCATAAAGAAATATGTAAGTATCTTAACCTTTAACTCTGCCTGAATCTATTTGAATCTCTTTAGCGGATTATCTTGTAGAGACAAAGAAAATTTTATGTATTGTTTTTTCTACTTAGTACCACATAAACAGAACATTGGGTTAAAAAAGATAATCATTATTTTACATAGTTTAGTGCTTTTAGTTTAAAAGGGTTAATCTCCAATTTAAAGTTGATTTAGATTATTTATTTGACTGTAATTGAGTGTGGGAAACATTCGCCATTATCAGGTGAATAATCATTGTTAATAATTATTATCATGTGAATTACATTTTAAAGTGGATGAGGGACTCCAGGCGATACAGCTGGAAGATGGATCTACGGCATTCTTAACTCGTGCCAACCCAGAAGGTATATTTACGGATGTTTCTAGTTTAGACACCACTGGTCTTAACTTGGAACAGTTGGCTAATCAGGTAAGCAGAGTTTGATGTTTTAAAATTTATATTCCTTTATGTATATAAAACTTTACATGCATTCCTGAAAAGTCACAATGTTTTTTATCTGAAAAAGGAATTTATGATCCCTGTGCAAGGATTTGTTCAGCTTTTCTTTGCAATATGTACATTTAATAATCAAGAAAATAATATTCTGAAATCTCATCTACAGACAATGATTATAAAGCCAGAGAAAGGAGTAATGTTGGCTGGAGACAAAGCCTATCGCTGCATGTATGAAGATTGTGGTCGTCTATATACTACCCACCACCATTTGAAGGTAACTGGCACGTTTAACTATTTTATATAACAAATGATTTCATTTTAACATTATCTTGCATCTGATTTCACAGATTTTTAACCTGAGTTATAATAAGCATGTTAAAGAGAAAATTTGAAGAAGTTATGTGTTATTTCAGTAAATGTTAAGAATTCGTCTCTTTTCTCTAACATCAGAATATGTTGACACAGCATTTCAACCCTAAGCTAATTGAAACTTGTGTAGGAGATCATACTACTTTACTTCTTCTCATTTAAATGATATTATAACCCAGTTATATCTTGAGATTGGTTCCCACAAGAAACTCCTTCATCATTGGCTAGAAATTAGTGCATTTGCTTTGTCATCTGACCATAATGTTTGTGGGTTGTCTCCTAATCAGGAATTCAGAGTCAGTCTCTGTATTTGCTCTTTTGGACAGTCCTTTTCAGAAGATGATCTTGCAACCTCTCCAGTCCGGCTCATTCATCTGATCTCACATTGGATTTCCATATGATTAATTTACCATAAACATTTTTTTATATTCTATAATAATTTAAAACCTAGCACCTGTTAACTCAAGCCATTAAACGCCTATTAATTTCTTTTCAATTTAGGTACATGAAAGATCACATACTGGAGACAGACCATTTCAATGTGATTTTCTTAACTGTGGCAAAAGGTTTGCTACAGGCTATGGACTCAAGTCTCACAACAGAGTTCATACAGGAGAAAAACCTTATCCTTGTCCACATTCTGATAAGGGATGTGATAAAGCATTTAAAACTTCTGGTGATTTACAGAAACATGTGCGCACTCATACAGGTAAGAGTTTCTTGTGGTTAAGTGCTATAAATAAATGATTACATTTTAAAGTTATTTGAATTAATTGAAAAGTTTGATCATTGTTTATTTGAAATTAATGTTAAATTTTTTATATTTTTTTAAAGTGTAATTTACTTAGACTAAAAGAGCATAATGCTTCTGTAGGTGAACGTCCATTCAAATGTCCTTTTGAGGGTTGCACCCAATCTTTTACAACATCGAATATACGGAAAGTCCACATCCGAACACACACAGGGGAAAGACCTTACATATGTGATATGGAAGGGTGTGGTCGAGCTTTTGCTTCTGCTACAAACTATAAAAATCACATTCGAATACACACAGGTAATAAACGTGATGAGTTAATTATGTTTTGTAGGTTAACTAATTGGCTACCAGATTGAAAAACCAGCTGTGGCCTAATTAAATCTGTGTCACTTTTTCTCATTTTAGGTGTATGTACAAATTCAACTGCAGTTTTCTCAATTCTAAACATATTCTAATGATCAATAAACCATTTTGTAGATAATTGAATTGTCTTTAAAATAAACTAAAAACTTTTGTAAAGTTAAGTTTTGTTGGGACATTATTAATTGTTTAATTAGTATTTAAAAAAGAAAAACAATAAAAAATATATATAAATGTGCCAACTTACAAGTAAATTTTAAATTTCCAAATCATTTAAAGCCTGTTATTTGGTGGTTTCCAAATATTATATCCAATAATAAGAAAAATTCACCAAAGAACACAGATATTGAATAATATTTACACTTCCAACCACATATATGCCTTTAGTAACCCTGTCACTTGTTGCCACGGTAAACAAGTAGTTCAACTTTGTAACTAGCTTGGAAATTAAATCAAAATTAATTAACAGCTCGTTTTTTAAAACATTCTGCCGATAACATGTGTTCTAATAAAAACATCCTGTCGGTAAATTAAAATCTTGAAGCAAAACAGTAATGGAATAATATAAATATTTGACTCAATTTACTACGATACAAACCTTGGCACTACCAGCGGCTCGTGGCCATAACGAAAGAAACACCCAGCCGACCCCACTGGCTCATGTTAGTTAACCAGTTAAAAACTAACATGGTATTAGGATTGTGTGAGCTAGCTCTGAGGTTGCATTTGGTTTATTCACTAGTAAATTGTTAAGAACAAAATTGAAACCAAATGTTTATGAAATTATACTATATTATTTTTTATTGTCATTATCATCATCATTCAGATCCAGTGGCCATGTCCCCTGCAGAAAAATGTACACACTCTCATCAGTTGTTCTTTGTGTTTATTATCATTGTAAGTAAAAGTTCTGCCAGCCCAATAGAATTGTTAATTTATTATTATCAGAAAGCGTTTTTGTTTTAACAGGGGAAAAACCCTATGTATGTACTTTCTTGGGTTGTGGCAAAAGATTTACAGAGTACAGCAGCCTGTACAAGCACCATGTTGTACACACTCACACCAAGCCCTACACATGTCACTGTGGTAAGACATACCGACAAACCAGCACATTGGCCATGCACAAGAGAACAGCACATGGAGAGGAAACACCCCCAGGACTGCTTGTTACAGCGCAGGAATCGGGTATGTCACAGCAGCAATACTGTTTACTATTGGTACTAAGAATTAGAGTTATTAACTTCACACAAAGTTCCTTTCACAACAAGCTATAAATTATCCATCATAGCAGCAAAAGGTGTAACTTAGCTCTGACAAAAAAATCATCGCACTAGCAAAAATAGGTTTGAAATTCAAGACCAGTCTTTATAGTCAGAAAAATACTTTAAGAAAACAACTTTAAGTCATATATAAATTATATATTTTTCTCTTATGTCTTCAAATAAGTTGGGATTTTTTCAATACATGCTAATGAATTATTAAAGACACACAGTTGTGTATACACACAACACTACACTTGTTTTTGAGTTTATGATGTTGAAATTTAAAATGTGATCTTCTTTAATTTTAAAATATTGAAATGAATCAATTTTCATTTTGACCTTCAATGAAGTAAATAATAATAAAATTTAGCATTTTTGTAATTTTCAACCAAAAAAATTGAATGGATGTGTGGTTTACAACATAATTTAATTTAATTCCAATGGGATGTAAATTTTCATTACTATTCACATACACCACAGCATCTAAAAGCATTTTATTAAAGTTTCTTGTTATTCTCTGGTAGTAAGATTATATTGAAAAATCATTTTAATCAGTTAAATAGCATTGAATTTGTCAAGTTTTGAGAAACTTTAATAGCAAAAACATCTCTACTATATTTACACAAATTAATTTAATACTGGAATGTACACAACACCTAAAACTAATCTCGATGGTGGGAAAACTTGAGATTCATTTTGGGGGGGGGGGGGTGGGGGCATAAAAAAATGCTCAGAAGATGCAGGGGGGCACGGGGACTATCTAAGGGGGGGATTAAATCAGAAAGTTTTATTGTTATCGGGTCGTTATCGACCTTGAAAAAGCATCATGAATAGGCATAGGTCAAATATTACAAGGGGTTACTAATAACAAGAAATATTTTCTTAGTAAGGCAAAATCAATATACTGTACAAAAGTAGTGTATTGATTTTATAGAGGAGCTTCCAACATATATTTCTACACATGCACTGTGATGCAGAGCTAGGAAACTAAATCATAACCCTTATATGCTCTGGTGTAAGAAATGTTCATTGTTATTAATGACAATTTTTCAAATAAGAAAATATTTATATTTTAAATGTATAGAAGTTAATGCCTCGTCATCATCATATTTTATTATGTCTGCATGACAGTTGATTAGTCTTGATTCATAAAGTTAAATAAACTTCATTTTTATAAGGAATAGTGAGAGCTGTGCATGAGTTGGACTACTTGTTAACTTAACAAAATGTTAGAATCCAGGGCAGGTTTTGTTTAATTACTTATTTCTTTATTTTTGATTTTGTCATTCATAGCCAACATCTAATGGCTAAAAACTGTTAGTTTATTGACTTTCACAATGCAAGTATGTAAGTAAGTTGCTTTTAGAAAAAAGACAAATGCTTCTCTCAGTCCTGACCCCAAAATCATTAGACAGGGCTAAACTGTTTTCAGAAATATTTCCATGAATAAAGTCTACTTTCATACTGATATTGACTCAGCTTAATAGCCATATTGGCCAAAATTCAAGCCAAACGGTCCTAGAAGGGAGGGGGGTTACAAGATGATAAATCAGTGGCATCACTGGGGTTACCCAGTGCTGCAAACTTTCCCATGGGCCTCATGGTCTGTATGCTTTGGGGACACCCTAAACAGTGACAGCCTTTTCTGTTTGCAGCCTACTCTGATGGCCCCTGCTCTGTCTGTTGACACTATGTTCTTGTGGCAACCTTATCTAGTGGCACCCTGCTTATGTATATAACTGAGGTCTGTTTTGAAATGGACTTTAGCCAACACTGACTTATTTGCAATTTTTCATTTAGTGTCACCCTTGTGAGGGTGTCGCCTGGTGTGGTACTATTACACTATTGCTTAAAATATATATTGTGTCTATTTGAATATGGTACATAAAATTGTTTCTGAGCAATAGAAATACAAAATTATTTTTAAAAAGTCTATGGTGATATTATCCATCTACATAGAATCTGATGAACCACCAAGTAAGAAAAGACTCATCAAATCAGAAGCATCTGAGGAAGAAGGGGAGACAAGCCAGAATCTCATAGTCAATACCAGTGAAACTCAACAGGTTGGTTTTTCCAATTTTTTATTTTTTTTGGTGAAGAAGTTTTGATTTATGGATTACTTTTTCATTATTTAAAACTATAAATAACTGGCCAAACAATGGCGGTGGCAATGTGTGAACTTTCCATCTACTAAGGTTGCTTGACAAAACATGCACCCCAATTAGTGGTAACCTCTGGCAATTTTATTTTGCGCTAATGTTGGACATAGCATTGCAGCCATACAAACATACCTGGAAAATTAATATTTGTGATAAGAATATTATTATATTATTACTGAACCCTTAGGTAGTGTGTCTGACTCCAGATGAGAAAGTTTCATGATCAAAGACTTCCTGTGTTGCCAGTTACAAAAACATTTGCAGAATTCACTTGTGTGTGGCTTTGTAAAGACAGAGAGCTATGAAAAGAAATATGCTATGATAAGTCAGCAAGACAAGTATTTTTGGCTTAGAGTTAACGCCTTGTTTAAAAATTCTAACCCAAGAATTTGGTAGCCAACATGTTTTAGGATAAAAATGGGGTGTCTAAAAAATATGAAGAGTCATAATGTTGAGAAGAACATTTCTGGTCATAAACATTAAAAGATGAATCATCTCAAAAGTGTAACACAAATATGTTATTATTTTTTTAAGTCAGGGCTTTGTGATGTCAGATTTTATTAACAATACCAATTGTTAGTTTAACTTAAAATATGATAAAACAGTTTTGTAATCTCCAAGTGCAATAGATTTTGATCTTTTCAAACGTCATCAAAACTTTTTTTGGCTAATTTATTTTAGAGTCTAACTCGTGGATCATCCCAATTTGATGAACTGTTTCATTGTACAATATCAACCTTACAGTCTAACCACTTTGACCTGCTTATCCAAACAACCTCATAGTCCAACCACTTTGACCTACTTATCCAAACAACCTTACAGTCCAGCCACTTTGACCTACTTATCCAAGTACTGTATTTCTTGTCATGTAAACTTCAGATGATGCTCCTCACTCCTGGCACAACTGATGCTGCCACGTTTGTGACCGGTGACAGCAGCCACCAGGTGGCAAGTCTTGTGACGCTGCAAACGCCAGGGAACCTCACTCTGCAAGATCTCCAGCAAAGCGGAATAACGGGTCTCACCGGTCTGTCCTTGGGTGAAAATGGCCATCAGGTGCTTGTGGTGACTGATCCAGCCCATCTAGAGGCCATCCAGGTGAGGGCTCTTGGTTTCTCAATGAGAACTTATATATTAATTGAATGCAATTTTTTCAAAAGCAGGTTTCGTGTGTCTGTATTTGTAAAAAGAATAAGCCCGCAGGAGACTTGAAGTGCACATGTAAATCAGTAGCATAATTCTGAAGCACCTGGTCACTGTTAATGCCTGCAATAAAAAGCTGTTGTTTATAGTTTGATAACTGTGTGTGATTTAACATAATTACCTAAATGGTCATCTGTATGGTCAGTGGTGTTAAAATCAGGGTCAACTAAAAATATTTTTAAGCAAAGACATGAGTCTTGTGAATAAAAATCAATATTAAAAATATACACAGTGGTGTTTTTCTTTGTTGTTGACTATTTGTGTTGATATTATTTATTTTGTAGTTGAAATTAATGTTGAAGAAACATTATTCTGTTCTTTGGTCATGTTAAGTCTAATGGACAGTGTTAATTTTGCCATAAACTTTTCAAATAGAACTAAGTAGAAAGGTAATGAAAAATTGTTTATTCCAGGGGGTTAGTTTGATATGGTTGTAAGCTTTGATTTTTATCCAATTGGTACGCTCCCCCTCCTCAATCCCAACAGATGCCGTGTAAACTTGATATTGTTTCTCATTGCAGCAACTGGCTGTCCAACACTTGGAGGTCATGGCTCATTTTCAAGGTACAGGACAAAGTGTTGAAGGGGTCGAGGGACAAATGACAGAAAATGCTGAACTGGCAGTTGTTTCACTTTCACAGTGACCTCACAGATTAACTGTATTTATAGGACATGGGTATTTTCAAAAAGTTAGTTTTCAATAGATACCGAGAACAAAGAATACACGAAATTCATTAAATTTATCAATTGTGGTTATGAAAATCTATGCAAAAAAAACCCAACAAAATGGATACTTTTTCAACTCCTTTTTTTCTTAAATTCAAGAAATTTTAAACATAATACTCATTTTCATCTATTCTGTTTGGGTTTTCTAAAATTAAGCATCATAACCCATTTATTATTATTTGTAGGCATAAACTGTGTTGATGACAACTTGATTCTACTACATCTCAACGTCTAATTTTATAGCAAATGCCCATTAGTTTTTTCTTTAAATTTTATCGTTGAGTGATAGAATGCAATATAATATCAGTTGGTGAGTAATGATGACCAAAAACTAAAAGGAATGTGCAAAAAGGTTTGTTTTGGATTCATTCAAATGAGTGATTGTTCCAGAACTCCCAAACATCTCACTTAATACAAAATTACTGCAATAAACACATTATCATCTTTCCAATTATAAGTTTGTTTGTTTTAAGATTCATTGTTTTCCAAATTTGCAGTACATTCAATGAAAAATGCAGATTTTGTTTGTATTTATATCTTGCCAAGGGACCAATTTAAAATATAGAAAAATCACACATTTGTTTGCAACTCTTAACAAATTTAATAAGTTATAAAGAACATGTCCTCATTATAATAAGAATTTAAACTTCAGTTGAAAAGAGAAGAAAAAATAAACTTTGCAAATGCATGCAATTTGTTCATCCATTATTTGGACTGTATGACTTGTTACAGAACTGAAGATTTTTTTTTTTCAAGTCTACAGGTTTTGTAAGAATATAGAAAACTTAAATAATATTTGGCTTTATGAATGTTTCTATGTCCCCATGGTTTCTATGAAGCTGTTAGATAGGTGACTTTCATGTACACAAAAGTGATGATGTGATTATATGTCATTATTGATGCAAACAATTATTTTGGGATGTTCCATTCTCATGTAGTGTTTAACTTTGTTCTTCCTTCAAACCTTTGTGGTCTCTGTCCTTCCAATTGCTATCTACTGTGTAAGATCCAGTCCAGTTGGAGAAATATATATCTGTAACAATTTAGTTAACATGCATTATTAATAATATTAACTGAGGCTTTTACAATTTTTGTAGTTCTTTTTTTTTTTTTTTTTATTTTTGCTTTTCTTAGCTATAAGTTGAAATTTTTTTTTTTATTTGTTTTTTTTTTTTTTTTTTTTTTTGTTTTTTTTATTTTTGTATTTCTTTTTTTTTTTTTTTTATCTTTGCTTTGCTTAGCTATAAGTTGAAATTCTCATCTCCAAAATTGATTTTGGTTTGCATTGTTGTTCTTTGCACACAGTCACTTAGAATGAACAAATTTTTTTAAAAATACTGTATAACTAAGTGAAATGATACTGCATGTTAAGGATAAATGATGCTGGCAAATCAATGACAATGTGTTTTGAAGTGAAGTAGCTATATGATATATGACTGTATGCCTGATTGGTACAAACTAAACCTGGAAATTTGTGAATGTGTCACCAATACTATGTAATGTAAAAGGTAATAATCATTTGTTGAACAAGTGGATGATACTGCTTGGTATGTAAGTTTTTTTAAAATAATTGTGCTATGGACAAAGTCTTGGTGTAATGATGAATTGTTGAAATAATTGGATTAATAAAGTAATTTATTAAATTATATAATAAAAATAAACAAGATTGTTCAAAGCTTTATTTATTGAAATAAAAATTACACTTTATCATTTGTACACCCCTTAACTAAAACCTGCATTTTTGTAACTGGAATTTGCAATTCACCATTAAATTCAGTCTTCGGTATGGTGAAGCTTTTACTAAAAACATAAGAGTTACTTTGCAACAGTTATCAAGCAAAGACAAGCCTAAACCAAATTGAAATCACTATCTTCTAAAGTATAAACAGAAAAACTGGGACACTTACAACCAATAAATTGATTTACTTTAAAAATAACCTTTTCTAAAAGGAGGCCTAGGTTTTAACAAAATAATAATATACATTAACATGATATGTTCAGAGGTGATTATAAATTGCATTACTTTGGATCTTTCTACACCCTTTGATTTAACTGTATCTATTTTTTTTAATGACTTTTTTTAATCGTATTAGAACAAATTATGTATACAGTGCCCATAAATTATTTTTTTTAACATATTTAAATATAATTGTGAACAATAAATATTGTACAATTAGATCCCTTTGGTCAAAACTAACATTTCATTAAGTCTAACCCAAGGTTATTTTCTACATATTTTATTTATGTAAATAATTAATATTTACAATGAACACTCAATTTTGATAAAGACAATTATTTTAAAAGCATCAATTGAATGCACTATTCGAAGATCTTATTGCACCAGATAAATATTCAACACTTTTTGTCCAATATCTGAGTTGTAAAATATTTAACTCCAGATAATAATATAAAACAAAGTAGAAAATAAGATTGGTGAATTTATTCTTCACTGTCTACTTTAAAACACCAATGTCAACAGTACACGGTTTCTTATGACTAAATTGGAATACATGTAATATACCAAAATCTGGGGTCATAATTTTGTTTACTACAGCTCACTGTACAATCAAATTGCAAACTTAATCTAATAAATAAACACAGACTAATTTTGAAATATTTATACATTTGATTAAAGAAGTTTTTAAAAAGTCACACTCACTGAAACACACACAGCCTAAGAGTGCAAGCTTAACTTTGGAAGTTACCAGCAAACAATAAATAAATATAAATTAACCGATATGGATTTGATATACACTGGTGACGGTCATAAGCGTAAGTCAAGGTGTGCCCTGAAATGGCATAACCTAAAAGGCACATAGGTATTTGCATAGGTAATTTGTATCACAGAAACAAAATTCAATCAATAAAAATACGGAGCAAACAAATTTAATTCCTAAAGATCTGATAAAATCAAATATAAATTATAAAATATAGCAGTCACAAAAAACTTTCTTCAATTTAATTGCAGGAAAGCTATTACTACCATTTACTCATGATGATGATTGTCTACTTTTATAGCGCTTGTGTCCATGCTATTTTAGCATGCTTGCAGTGCTCTGATGTCCTAAAATCTATTCAAAGAAAAATTTCTTTAAACGTTTCATGGTGGAATTGTCATTTGATTTCCATATTAATATTAAAATTTTCAGAAGCCTATCATTAATATTCTCATAAAAATGGTCCACATGCCTATGATTCTGAATAAAACTCTAACTTTTGTCAAAATGATTTAAACTTATAAATATTTTATTCTTTATATTCCATATTCTGAATTGTGACAAATGTTTCAAACGCTCTATTTTACAAAATGCAAAGAACTGACCGTGATTTCTAATGAACATTTGAGCTTAAGCTAAAAGTGGTTCAATTCCTGTACATTCGTTCTAGGACGCTCAACCCTTAAATCATACCACACCAGTTAAATCCCCAATCTTCCTTCTTCCCCTTTCCTGATGATATTCTCAAATCTAATGATAGTGTCAGTGTCTGGATCTAGTGGGTTCTCTATAGAGAGAATTTTAACACTAGAAAAACAATGGGAAGGACATTATGAAAACTATATCAACTGCTCCAAATTATACCTTTACATAAAAACTTGAAGAAAGAAAACCATTCAAAAAAACAACTTAAGTACAAAGATAATAAGGAGGGCACCAATAGTTACCAAAAATGGATTCTTTTTTAACAGTTATTATGACTTCATAAAATTGATACACATTTCAAGAAATAAATGAGCACTCTAAAGTCCCCACTTCCCCTCGCTCATGTCGCCACTCGCCCTTGCTCAAGTCGTCACTCCCCCTCTCCAGCCACTACTGCACCTATACATATATAAATTTTTGATACACCCTAATCTATTATGATCTTTATCTTGAATTGTCAGCCATCAGGAGTAAACAACAACAACAAAAAATGCCTTATAAATTATATTGATTTAGAATTAGGTTTGACCAATTCTTTATTCCAGTTTCAGACAATTTTTTAAAATCTTAAAATGGCATATTAAAATTCCTGTTCCAAAATTATGAAGAAAAAAAAAAAAAAAAAAAAAAAAATATAATAAAAAAAAAAAAAAAAAAAAAAAAAAAAAAAATAATTATGTTTAACAAATTTTTTATTCCAGTTTCAAAAAATTTTTTAAAAACTTAAAATGGCAAATTAAAATTCCTGTTCCAAAATTAAGAAAAAAAAAAAAAAAAAAAAAGGCAAATATTTTTACGGATTTTACTGATCTTACAGAAATGAAGAACATTTTTGCCAAGAGATTAAAAATGTTTTTCCTTTGTTGAAAATACATCTAACAAAATAGATGAGGTGAATATGAAAAAGAAATATAATAAAATAAAACTACATACTCAATTAAATACAACATTATTTCTTTCCTTTTAATGTTAAGTCTTAATTATGTAGGTAACCTAAAAATGGTCCTAAAGACAAACATATTGTCAAGTATAATTCAAAACACAATAGCACATGTAATTTTACATAACCCTGGTACAGAAACCACAAATCATGCATGACTGAATCCAATCTTTGGAGTTAAAGATAGCAATGAATCTTAAGTAATTCGCTAGACGAGGGCAATACTTATACTAGACCTGGCAACTTCAATATATTTTTGAAATATCTAAAACAAAAAAAAATTAGATTTGTTGATATGAAATATAAAAAACTTTAAAGAGGCTTTTAAAGAGTAGCAATAGATCTCACATTTTGATTATTCAAACCAAATTTGGACTGAGAATGATTGAGGGCTAAAGTTTAGAAGAGCTAGGGTAATCTTGGATGTACCGATATTATTATTGGCTTTACTGATTAATAGTTGATCAAAGGTGTCCAGCCTGGCTGGGGTTATGGCTCAAAAAATGATAGGCACCACTAGATTATGATAACAAGTAGTGTTTTAAGTGAATGAAATGGTATTATTTGTATGAACTTCAAATTTCCAAAACCAAGAAAAACATTTGATTTATTGCCAGATATAAGGAGAAGCCATGTGCAAGCCATGTTTCCATATGCTCCTGTCATAGATTTTCTTTAATCATAATATAGATTTCTTCTTTGTGTTTGTGTGTGTGTGGTTAAATGTTAACAAATTTAAAACTTGATTTTAAAAAAAAATGCATACTATTTAAGCACTGAAGGTATGTGCTACCATTGAATATACCCACTTGTTCCTTTCAGTATCTGATAGTGAGATAGTCAGACTGCTGTTATGCATTGTTAGACACCATCAGTAACAGTTAATGCAAACATGTAGACCCAAATAAAACCTATAACTCATAATGAATATAATAGATTTTGAACTTAGTGCTTGAGGACCTGGACCACACTGATGACATAGGATAGCTGCTTGGCAAGTACAAAAATGCTCAGGGAAAAAAACCAGACTAGCTGAAGTGGCCAGTGGTGTAGGACTAAAAAATCAAAACCAGGAAGACGTAGGTCATGAGAAAAAATACAAGATATGAAGGATAGATTCAATGTAAACAACAGTCCACTGGAAGATGTAACAGAGTTGGAGCATCAGCTTATCAAAGATTACAGATCAAAGTGTATCTACTAATCAAAGAGTAAAAGAGTAGAGTATCTACTGATCAAAGAGTATCTACTAATCAAAGTTTATCTACTGATCAAAGGGTATCTACTGATCAAAGTAACAACTGATGAAGAACTAAGACATTGATCAAGTGACAAACATTTCAGAAACCTCATAGGGACATTGCTAGAGAAGGCTCAGTCATGTGTGTAGAGATCACTTCCCAGGACAGCACAGAAAAAAAAAAAACACGGAAGACCCAATAAACCTGGGGCAGTATAATAGAGTAGATCTACTGAGCAGAAACCTGACTCTGCAGACAGCTCCCTTATCATCATCATCAGTGGCGCTACAGCCCATGTAGGGCCCTGGCCTGCTCAGCCACAGCCTTCCATTCGGGTTGATCTCTGGCTTTTTGCCTCCATGCCCATGGCCCCAGCTGATGTAAGTCCTCTTTGAGACACAGAAAAATCCAATAGACAAAAGTGACATTCCTCTGCCCTTGGTTTAAGCACCAGCCATAACACGAGGACCAAATGAATGAATGTATGAGTTTAAATTGTGACCCTATCTATATCTAAGGGCTGTGAATGAATGAATGTATAAGGTGTGACCATATCTATAAGAGCTGTGAATGAATGAACGAATTAGGTGTGACCATATCTATAAGAGCTGTGAATGAATGTATAAGGTGTGATCCTTAATTATCTTTCTAGGACTGTGAATCTTATGTTTAGTAAGCGTCTCCTTAAATCCCCCCAAAATAAAAATGATTAAAAAAATCCAGTCTAAGATGCAGGCTTGAAGCTTCGGTCTGGTGAGTCCACCATGACTTTGATGGGCTGCTGGCAGTACTGAACATTGTCCTTGTTATACGGGCAAACTTTCAAGTGTTCTCCAATGTTTGGACAGTTTTCTGTGAACTTCCATGAACGAATTGGTTCAAAGCTGGTGCTGAACATCCACTGCTGCAAAAACAATGCAATCACATCAGACAAAAAAACAGAAATAACCATCTACAGGAAAAACAGTTTATTTTATAACTAAAGAGCTAAACTTTTGGTTTCATATAGCTTTTGAAAGAGGTTTTATTTATGATTCAAATTGCCAAAAGACAAAGAGATTAATTTTTTAAATTTAGAAATGCCAGTAAGCCTTTGTTGCAGCCGATCAATATATGCCCCAATTTGATTAGGTAAATAGGAGAGGAAAAGGGTCTGGGTTCAAATAAAAATCAAACCTCTCCAAAAATTGATTTTTCTTTAGTATTATTAGCCTCTATTATTTTGTTTTGTGTTTCTTTTGGAGAGGCTACGACCCATTGCATGCTTTTAAAAAATGCTTCACCTTTTCCCCAATTTAGAAAAAAATTGCTTGTCTTGGTGAAGCATATGTACCATAAAAATTACATTTTATATTGAGGACTGTCACAAAATTAAAATGTTTTACCACTCTTAGTCTCTGTAAAGCTTATTGGTTGATGAAAAGGATTGTAGACATACACAAATACATAAAATATTACTGGTATTTAAAATATATTTAGAGCCTTATGTTCTACAAAGGAATCTTATTTTTCTATTGTATATTAATTTACCTTGCATGCAATCTTCCAGGTGAACCTTCCAGTCTCCACATGCTTGTGCCTCTGCCAGTTGAGTAGCACTATCCCATGGTCATTCAACAGACTGCAGCAAACATCCCGCAGTAAATGACATGTAAGTGACAAATTGCACAGGCTGAAACTGTCTAGATGTTTGGCTGAAAGAAATATTGAGGATTCACACAGATCAGTGAGTTGTCATTATGGTTATGAATCTAATCTCTATCTTAACCTTAAGCAAAGTAAAGACTTAAACAAATAAAAAAAAATTAATTTATGGTTTTATTGAGATCTTTTAATCAATTTTTTTTTTTTACTTTTTTTTTACTTTTTTGTTCCTTACTTCAATCTTGATATGGCCATAGTCTATAAATATTTTTGTTTATCCCTGAAGTAAAAAGAAAAAAAAATGCTGGTTTTTTTTTTAGTCGTATTTTGTTGGAAAAGGAAAAACATAAAAGGTCAATGTTTGCTTCACACTACGAATAGCATAGATGCCCAGGGTTAATTCAAAATGCCAACTAGCTTTTGAACTTGCAACCCACCAGGTTTCACATGTGATTGAGCAAATATGCTATCAGCACTAGTTACAGACAAATGAATGAGTCAAATGAGGCCACTTCCCAGAGAACAATCACTAAATATATTGTAAGCCTGGACAAATTCAACTAAAATAATTTGTTAGAGGGGAGTCAAACATTGATTACAAGATTTGATCATGACAAATTGACATGAAGCCAAACTAAATAAAACCATGCAAAAAGGACAGTAAAATTCATTTTAATATTCTTTTGAGACTTTCGTCAGATTGTATGATCACCTATTTGTTGCAGTACTTCAAAGGGTAAACTGGTCAGCTGAGGGTAAAATGCACACTGTTCTGCCTGCTGGTCTTCATCATCTTCCTCCAAGTCATACTGAAAAAGGACTTTAGAATCCCAGTTTAGAGCTGTGTAGACTGTGGGCTGCACTTGCACACAGTACTTTTTATCACTGGTTGACAAGCCTTGGTCTCCGGACTCTGCGGGCAGCTCCAAGGCTGTAGGCTTTCCAAGATTAGACTCATGGTGTCTGTGAATATCTGATATAATGGTTGCCTCCTTACCACTGGCACCGGCAGCCTTCACACTGCTGCTGGGAAGTGGATAGGCAAAATTTGAATCAAAAGCTCTATCTACAATGGCAAGATTGCTAATGCTAGCAGCACCAGGCTCACTACTATCATAGATTAGATTTTTATTATGCCCTTCTTCCGACAACAGGTGGTCACTTCCCTGCCCTTTTCCTGAATGAGGTAGGTTTTCCAGATCGGACATTGAGCCATGGTGGTGTGAGCAAGATGATTTCATCGGCTGGACGGTGCTGCGGAGGCCAAAGCTCTCCAGCAGTGGTGAATGATACAGAGCCCTGTTGGGCTGAGCTGGCTCCATTCGATGATATGAGAAGGTGCAGCCCATGTACGCCAGAGGACATCGCTGCTCCAGCCATCCACTGAAACCTGAGTAAATTTCTTGGTGAACATTCTGAGAATAGATAAAACAAGGAGTTCAATCCTCACCACCAAAAAGGGTCACCACCAAAAAGGGTCACCACCAAAAAGGATCACCACCAAAAAGGGTCACCACCAAAAAGGGTCACCACCAAAAAGGGTCCCCACCAAAAAGGGTCACCACCAAAAAGGGTCACCACCAAAAAGGGTCACCACCAAAAAGGGTCACCACCAAAAAGGGTCCCCACCAAAAAGGGTCACCACCAAAAAGGGTCACCACCAAAAAGGGTCACCACCAAAAAGGGTCACCACCAAAAAGGGTCCCCACCAAAAAGGGTCCCCACCAAAAAGGGTCACCACCAAAAAGGGTCACCACCAAAAAGGGTCCCCACCAAAAAGGGTCCCCACCAAAAAGGGTCCCCACCAAAAAGGTTGCATACCACTAGTCTAGGGAGATGTTTGCAAAATTGTCACTTGGCATTTTCTTTACCTTTAAATAATATAAAAAAATCATTTGTGACAAATTAAATGTGCTTTGAATAATATTACTTTTAAAGTCATTATAAAATAACCTAAATGCCTACCTTGAAATGCCACCTATACTCGTCACGCCTGAAATTCTGAGCACAGATGAATGTATAGATGCTTGGATTTTTAATCACATATTTGTTGATGCACTCAAACCCAATGTTAACCCCAAGCATGGAAGCCAGGTGGACTTCTTGTCCTTCCTCAGACTGGCAGCCCAGCAGCTTGTACAGCTGGGTGCCCCCTACATCATGAAGCGTGGATTTTGATCTTGTACTGGCCTCGCTGAACCTGTCAGATGAAAGACTACTCCTCGCAGAGCGGTCGGCCGACTGGGATGTTCTGACTGACCTATCTCCTGAGTCCAACGACCTAATGGATCGTTCAGCAGATACACTACTCCTTGAAGGGATTTGCTGATCAGTTTTTGTATCGATCGTCAAATCTCCACTTGGAGCATTGCCAGCACTGCTTGCTGAAAAAGATCGTTGCAAGACATGTTTTGCACCTTCAGTCCCAACTGCTGGTTCAACACAACAGCCATCTCCTGACTCTGATATTCCCGCTAGTTTACCTGGAGCTGTTGACAATGCATTGGATGAAATTTCCAAAGCACTTATTAGACTGTCTGTTGTCTCTTTAGTCACCCGAAACAAACGACTTCTGATGCTTTCCATTAAGCCTGGGTGTGGCTTTGAAAGATCCCATGGTGCATCAGTTTCATCATCCGAAACTGTATGTGAGGTATCCGCTGAAGCAGCGGGATCAGAATCAAAGGAGGCACTGTGGTATGTCAGAGGAGCGGCAGGATACTTTTTAGTCAAAGAGTTCCTGAGAGTGTGGCGCAGCTTACGTGGGGCTTGAAGGGAACCTATCAGCATTCGTTGATCCCTCATGGCTAGGCCGACATCCAACTGTCCACAATCAAGGTATGTCTTCTTTGTTGGTAGTGGCATACGTATACCTTTGTCTTTAGCATGCATGGGCCATCTAAAAGAATATGAGAAAATATATTTATGAGTTTATAAAAAATGTAGCCATGATATTTCCTATTAGCCATAAATTAGTCACAAGTTGTTAGCAAGAGATATTTTATAGTTTTATTTAATTAATACAACAATGTCACCTTTCATTGGAAAAAATATATGAGTATGGTGAAAAATCTCTTAGTTCAAAGGAAATCTGACGTGCAGTGTTTAACCATAATTTTTTGTCAAAATATAATCAAAAGTAGTATACCAAATTTGAATTACGCCATTGTTTCCTTTTAATAATTTGTTTTTGGTTATTGTTACTTGATAACATTTTTGTTTAAATGGCCTCTTTTGCAAATGGACCATGAAGCAAAAATGTTCGAGTAGAAGAGCTAAATTCTTGTGCTATCATTTCGTGATCTTGTTTGCTATTTGGGGGGAACATTGTAGGGATTTTTGCCCTTTTAGTTGTTACTTCAACAATACATACCTGCACCATTCTTCAACGCAGCACACAACGCTCGCTGGACAAACAGATAAATGGGCAGCCATCTTGGATCTTTTCAATACATGTGGGCAGCCATACTCCTTGTTCACGCATGAAACACGCTCCTCTGGACAGGACAAAACATGCTCTGCTTGCTTGCACTCATGACACCTCCAGCCACACGCTTCGCACGTGACCATGACGCAAGCAGTGACATTGTCAACAAACTGAGAACAGCTGACTTGCCTGCATCTCATACAGTGAGTGTGCAGACCTGGGATGTTGGTGCTGACATCTTCAAGGTTGCTAAAGCTGGATGATGATAAAATAAAGTGATTCAGGCTTGAAGTAAAAAAAAACAAGTTCATTACACTAAGAGTTCTTAGCCCACCACCCCTCCCCCCCTTGATTCTATGGTCCTCAGTTAAAGCAAAGTGAAAATTATTAACAACAAAAATTTAATTTATTTTTGAGTGAGGACAGTTAAACTAAAATTTTTGACCATTTATGGAGCCAATGTAGTCTGTCTATGGATCTCAAGAAGGTATATGAAACCACAATAAAAGCTGCTCCCCTATGGTATGTTAATTTAGAATCCATTATATTCAAACAAAGGTTGGATTGTTGCGAATAAAAACCAACTTAGTTAGAATTATGTACAAGAATTAAGTTAAAAACAGTATTGGAACCAAAGTTTGCATTTGTGATTTTTTTCACAGATCTGTGAAATTTGTGAAATATTCAAAAAACCCTACAGATGTTTTTATGTTTGATTTTTTAAGTAATTTATCAATTTTTCAAAAACGGCAGCCAATGAATTAGTAATCTTTATGGGTAACATTAGTATACTGTACAGTAAATGTACCAGTCTGGCATAGCAATTAGGCAATACTGTACTCTATTTTTACGTCAACCATTTATTTTTTGTTTGTTTTTATTTTACGTCAAACACTTACATTATTTTTTAAGCTACTTTTTAAATAGAATTTTAGTGACTTTGGGGCATGATTTACGTAATATTTAACATTTATTGACATTAATAGTGACTTGTACCAAATATTTGCAATTCCTCATTATCCATTATGGGTTCTTGAACCTAACCTTGTGAGTGTTATAGGTATTTCTGTATTTAAATGTCATATCAAAGAAACCATAAAATCATTACCAAAAAAAAAAAAAAAAAAAAAAAAAAATAAAAAAAAAAAAAAAAAAAAAAAAAAAAAAGTTTAACATTTTTCAGAAAAGACACATAAATTGTAATTAATAACAATAAAATAATTTAATGACATAATAGGTTCTCACCTCTTTTTCTGTGTGAACCCTGAAATTATCATTTCAACTGTCAATTAAAGAGCAATCTTTTTATATTAACAAACAAGCTTCCACATCAACTTTATGATATGTTGTAAACTTTTCCTGAGTTGCTAAGCCTCTCATTTAAGCAACTGTCAGAAGTAAAGAAGTATATTATAATTTATATTTGAATATTTAAATACAACAGTCAATAAAAGTTGTGAGGTTTTTTTAAAAACTTCATAAGTGCATCTGAGATAAGCAGAATCTGAGTTCTAAAGTTGTCTCATGAAAGAATAATAATGAAAAAAAAAGTTAAAAAGAAAAGAAAACTGTTAAATTTTTATATTACATTTGTTAATAATGAACCTAAGTAAATTAAGTAATGTTTATGTTAAGACTTATGAAAATTAACTTTTAGGAGCCCTTAAATATTTGATTATGATCTATTAATGACTAATGCATTAATCATTTGAATTTAAGGATGATTTTGAAATATATTCAGCACCTAGGCTTAGGGTAGGCCTATTGACATTGAGAGTAGACTACAAGTACACAGGCAGAGACCTATGGGGAGGAAAGGCTGCACTTTCTTCCTTCAACTGAGTGACATTTTCTGCGCTAACTCTTGCTATGCCACTGACTGACAGAGATTGTTTCAGATTACTAATAAATTACTAATAATCAATAATTTAATTGGAATTATAATTATTAATTAAAAAAGGCATTTTAAATGATCCTCACTTGTCTAAGTCTAAGTCAAAACAATTTTAATATTGAAATGTAAATTAATTCAATGATTATCAAAGCAAATAAAAATTCATTCATGGCAGCAGTTGAATCATTGCTTGAAAATTGAATATTAGTAAAATATTAGAAAGTTGTTTAAATAATGATTGGCCACTCATTTGACTTTCTTTTCTACTCCATCAGTCAGTCAGTCATCACATCAGTTTCAGCCATCATCACTCGTCGATGACTCAGTCAGTGATCCCGTCATTTCAACTTAAATCATTTTCTGGTTACCAACTTCTATTCATTATGAGATTTTAGATAACTTTCCCCACTATCTGCTTATCGTTTTACCATTAAAAGATACTCATAAAGTCATAGGTCAATTCGCTTCTTGTATATTAATATTACCACTTCTGCATTAGTAATGATTTTATAGTCCACGTAAGGTCACCCTATTTACCGAAATGCAAGATAGGACCGAGATTAATCTGAGACTCAGGTATTAGTATTTTTTTATTTAATTTTCATGAATATGTTTATAAACACATTAAATATTAATTTTGTTCCAAAGAATTTAAACCAAAAACAAAACAAATAAATATATATATATAATTTATATGAACCCAATATATACATTTAATTTACTTATATGATTATATGACTATCTAAATATGGAATTTTAAAATTTAGTTGGTGTATGACTCATGGTGAACATATGCAAGTTGGGTTTTGAATTTAGGTTACATCGCTATATATACCAAATCTCAAATGATCAAGTGCAAGAAAGGATTAGTCAGGCAATTGGGCAGTACGATGACCTCCTGGTGACTGTAAAAAACCACAAACTGGAATGGTATGGCCACGTCACAAGGAAACAAGGGCTTGCCAAAGAAATCATGCAGGGCACGAGAGGAGGGAGAAGAAGAGGAAGACAGAGAAAAAGACGGGCAGATAACATCAAAGAGTGGATGGGACTAAAACTAGGCGATGCTATGTGAAGTGCAGTAAACAGAGACGAATAGAGAGGATAGTTTTCATGTCATCTGTGGCAACCCCAATGGTCCAAGGACGAAGGGACATATGATGATGATGAACACTGGAACAGGGACAAATCTATGTGTGAAAAGTCAAATAACTGGCATAAAGACAAGATTTTGTTATTAGATTGTAAATTTTAATGTATTTTCTGTAGCAAAAGGATACAATTTTAAAGATTTAGGTAACAGATTTTGTTTGCTAAAGTCATAGTTAATCTGGAAAACTGACTAGACATCACTGCTTCCATAATCCATAGATATTAAATCAAGAAAAGCACAGATTAAATTTAAAAATTCATTTATTGAAAACGAATAATTTTTCAAGATTACAAAATAAACCTGTTCAGAAATAATTATACACTATTTACAAAACGCATGAAAATATGAATGTGAGATATATTATTAAAGACCCTAGCCAATGATTAATTGTGCATGTGACAACATAAATACAGAAAACAATACACACAATTTTTGAAGCCATTGCTTGGCCTTGGTTCAATTGAAACAAAAAATCTTTGTAAAAGGATATGTTTACAATTTACATTGGTAGCAGAGGATATAATAAGGCTCAAACAATTAGAAAATCTAATCACAAAAATGTTTGGTCATAGTCTTTACCCTTGGTAGGAAACTAAATATTTAATTTTCATGAAACACTAACACAAAAGTAAAATTTGTTTAGATGAAATTAAATTTCATTACAATCTTTTAAAAGCATAGTTATTTTCCTTTGGCCTATTAAAAATATAAAAAACTTCAAACACTAAATAATTTAAAGTTAAATAGCAAATCAATCATTTACATGATAAAAATGTACTAAAGTTTAAAATTATTTTTTAAAATTTAATTTTATAATATTTATATGCCATTAAATCGACTATCTGAGTATATTACCGGTAGTTAAAAAAGGAAGGAAACAAGCAACATAATATGTTATTAAATAACATCAGTGTGACTTACAATGACATGTAAGCTATGACATAAAATTAATTGTTCAGTGAACTAATGAAAATTTTATATTAAAAGTTTATCCTTTACTGAGTTTTTTTTTTTTTTTAAAAGCATTAAATGGAAGTGGCTTGTGTACTTATTTGTTGATACAGAAATCAATATCAATCACATTGAAACTTTGAATGACTTTTGCAAAGGTTTTGTCATCTGATTTCTGGAGAGTCCAAGACGAAGGCCAGTGGTAGGGTTAATTAAAATTTTATATTAAAAGTTTATCCTTTTTTGGTTTTTTTTTTTTTTTTAAAAGCATTAAATGGAAGTGGCTTGTGTACTTATTTGATGATACAGAAATCAATATCAATCACATTGAAACTTTGAATGACTTGTGCAAAGGTTTTGTCATCTGATTTCTGGAGAGTCCAAGACGAAGGCCAGTGGTAGGGGACTTGACGGTAGTTAACGATGAGCCACCAGAATTGGCACGAGCTGAAAATTAAATACAGAGCATTAGATCATTAGCAGGACTTTTGTAATGCCTTACAAATTTTCAAGTACTTTTCATTATTGAAAGAATTTAACATGTAAACATATCGCTTCTTAAAGTAAAAAAAACAACATTTCTGTCACTTTGTTGAATTTAGCAGTATTAGCAGGTAAAAATAATTTCACAACTTTGATAAAAAGGAGGGATCTAAAACGGTTAAGAGCAAATAACTGACTTTAAATTATCGCATCATTTGAATTGTTTTTAATTAAATTGCATGTTTCCAAAATTTATAGAAATTATGATGAAATGGGCCCAAAACCATATGCAGTTTTCATTCCGAAAATGCCCAGAAAGATGTACATATTAACTAAATTAAAAAAACTTTCAATGTCATTAGATAAAAAAAGAAAGAGAATGCCTTGCAAGTGCAATTTGATAACTGATAAAAGTTAAATAAAACTTGCTTTTGATTATTTTTTTTGTTTATAGTCATGAAAAACTGTATGCATCTGCTAAAAACAAAACAAAAATTGTACAAATATAAACTTACATGGCGGTTTCCAGCTAGGAGGTGTGATTGGTGATGCTCTTACTGATGTTATGGGAGTACCAGGTGATTTTGCGCTGTTCCTTTTCACAGTTTCAGAACTTAGCTGAACAGTACTGATGGATGAGGCAGTAGTGTTATCTTTGAGGTCAGCTTCTGAGATATAGATACAATATGTTTGTGTAGGATCTCATTGTTTCAGAACTAGGAGTATAAAAGAATTGTTTTAGTTTGTTTTAAATAGTAAAATACAAATTATTAAAATATTTTTCAGGTGCTATTGTAGACAATTTTTTTAGTTATTATATAAACCTTATATGATCTTCAAGCATTCCCTTACATCATTTTCTGCAATGTAAAGATAATAAGTGCTGTCCAGTGGCCTATCAAGGAAAAAAAATGACTGAGCAAATAAATGATCGTTATGCCTAAAATGGGAAAAGGAATGATGTAACATAAATCCTGACCTCATGCCCAGGTGCCAAACACCTTCCCCTCCCCATTATCCTGGTGTTACCTATTGGTTGATTTAAATGGAAAGCTTTATACATGAAATGGTAAACTTAAGTTTTATTCATACTCCCTAGCTGCATTAAAAATAAAATTGGGCTCCTATGTGCCATCTTAATAAAGGCTAGTACTTTTTTTTTTCATGTGTAAAAGTTAATTTATGTATGGTTTTATTTTATTGGTAGTTTCATTTTTGAGTGTGGATTGATCCAGGCTTTGTTTTGGCAACAAGAGCTTAACTTGTAAAATTAAAGGGTAGAAAAACCATTTTAATCCCATGCTAAGTTGACTGCTAACTTCAGTGATACTGAAGTTGATTAAACACTTGGTTTACCTCCTGCCCACGGATAACTGTTTTACATGGCTAATAATTCCGAGCCACCTGGTTCTTCAATTACATTTGGAGATGGCCCTAGCTGAAAATTGAATCCAACATTACCATGACAGCAAAGGACCAGAAATTGTGGAATGCTCATAAAACTTACTCGGTTGTTTAGCAGCTACATTGTTAGAAGCCTCCAATAATGACTTTGATTTATTTTTAGGCTTTAAAGATTTTTGGGGGCTACTTTTAGTTTTCTTTGTTGCTTGTCTCTTTTTCTTAGGCTTGTCATCAAAGTCACTGTCCTTTTCTACTGATGAAACATCCCTGCTACTGTTCTCATCATCTTCACTTTCATGATCCAGATCTAAATCACTACTATCTTCTGGAGAGTATTGGATATGAAAAAAAAAAAGGCAATGGCAATACAATCTTAACAACCAACATGTTATTAAAATCAAGTTAAAAAAATGTTACGCTCGAGAAACTTTAACTTTAATAGAAATCAGTGAAAAAAAAGGAAAAGAAGGAAAAAGGTCAAGGATTATTTTTCAAACAACATTAATAACAATTCATAGTTATTGAAACCTTATTATCTTACCTTCACTTTCATCATCAGATTTCTGTTTTTTCTTTTGAGAACGTCTCGTAGCTGGAGTCACCTGTGCAATTGAATGTAATCTACTATTATCATTATCAACAAGTGAGCCTAGAACTTCAATACTATCATCCATCACTGTTCCTACAATGCCAGTGAATGTAGTTGTGCCACTGTCATGCTTTAGTCTTGTCCTAGTTTTCTTCTCTGGTTCTTGCTCAGATAGTTTTTTTCTAGGAGCAAATGCTTCTTGCACATCATCACAATTAGAGGCTTTTAAATTTTCTTCTTGCGTAGAACTGCTTGAGCCACAATCTTTAAAAAAAAATTTTTTAAATGACAACCCTGTCAGATATTTAAAAAAAAAAAATTATTTAACTATTTATTCTACCAACATTTTTAAAAATTAATTTGAAAAATATATCACTAGCAAATCTAGCAAATCAATATTTTGAGTTACATTGGAACATGTTGCTAAGCCTACACATGTTCTTGCTAGCACAATGATTAAAGAAAATATCTGCACCCAAAAGAATATGAGTTTGTGTCAATGATCAAGTTGCTTTATTTTTTGTTGAAAAAAAAAACCTTAAGAACTTTTATCGTTATTTAAATATACAGAATCTTTTAAAAGCTAAGACATTTAATCTGTATTTTAACATACAGAATTTTAAACAGCTGGTTAAATTAAGAAACTGGTAGCAAAAAGAGAAGATGTTCAAAGCTTGCTAAATTGTATATTGCAGACCTGTTTACTCTTACAATTTTGGCGTACAATGTACGATTTTGAGGTGTATAGATTGTATATACTGTATGTTTTTTTTACTATGAAAATAACGTATTAAATGACATTGTGATGATAGTGTACGATTTTAAGAGTCTGAGGGTAAACAGGTCTGATATTGTTCTAAATTATGTTTATTTAAGTTACAATATTAGAGAAAGGAAAAAATGAGGCTCTAAACTAAAATAAAATCATGTTTAAATTGATATTTAAAATTTTCATCTTTTAATTTTTGTACCGTATAACTTTTTAAAATTAGTGCATGGACTGGATGGCTCAAAAGTCAGGCACATTTTCATTTGTCAAAATTTCTTATTTCCTTAATTCTTGTTGCTAGGCTCTTGTATTTAACAATTAAAATATAGGTTTATACCTGGTAATCGTTAGTAATAAACTTGTGTTTTTTCATCTATGGCAGATGCATAATTATTAAAATAGTTTATTTTAAATACATAAAAATTACTTTGTTATTCAGTGATTTGGGGGGAGGAGGGGGGGGGGGAATTCCACAATGTAGCACATATAAAACATCTCTGTAATTAACTTAGCTGTTCAAATCTTTAAAAATTGCTTTGCGCCAAGATGTGTTGTTCTAATGACTTTCATTGTTATCAGATATAGTTTTATAGAGCAGTGTGTGCTTATAAAACAAACAAAAAAAAATTACAGGTCTCTAAAATTTTGCAAAACCTTCAATGTGAACTACCACATCCTGGCTGCCTCCTGTTTCATACAATGAAATTTGTAAGGCTTCTTTCAGTTCCCTTTCATATATCTTTTCTGATACTGGTAAACGTCTGAAAATGTAGTAAAAAATAATAAATAAATAAAAATAATACTTTTTTAAAGTCATAAAGGTTGAAATATGGTTGTAACCATAAATAATAATCATAAAACAAATTTAATGTACAAAAAGATATCAATGATCAAAATAATTATATTTCATTCTTCATCATAATTATTAAAAAAGAGCAACTGCATTATTTTCAACAAATAAAATGACTGTCACGTTGATCTTAAACAGTTATGTCAGACTTATTTGTCTAGGGGTTATAGTAGTAACTTCGCAAACCTATACTTCATAAAACACACGTCTTTTTATTCAAATACAATACATTCTGAAAAACCAACACAGCACAGACATCGATCCACACCATAACAACCAAACTAACTGTCATTTCCCCATACTCAAATGTGTTACAAAGACTCAGCATAATAGATAAGCCAACACATATACCCTCTACACAAAACATCTTTTTCCATAAATTAGTTCACATGTGGCACTATAACATATTGTTATGTAGTACACCATTTTCCAGTGCTTGAACTTTGCTTGACCCAAATTAGATCCCTAGCAAACGTTAGCGCTTGTTGTGGGCATAATAGATAAGCCAACACATATACCCTCTACACAAAACATCTTTTTCCATAAATTAGTTCACATGTGGCACTATAACATATTGTTATGTAGTACACCATTTTCCAGTGCTTGAACTTTGCTTGACCCAAATTAGATCCCTAGCAAACGTTAGCGCTTGTTGTGGGCATGGCCTATTCATTTGATGTATCTTGTTTACTACCGCCTTTCCAATTAAATATGGTTGAACTGTCTCCAAGTATTTTGCAGAATGTTTGCGATTGTTCTAGATATGTAAACAAATGCTGAGTAGCTTCTGGAAGGCAGGGCTTACGCGTCTGTAGACCCCCATATATAAAGGGATTGACAGGCACATTGCGAGGGGGGATTCAGATAGATTGATAGATATTTTTAACTTTACGAGACGTGTATTATTCTTTGTGTGCTTATATTGTGTTATTTGCATTCTTCATTCATTGGCACATTGTACTAATTGTGTACAGGTACCAGTTCTACCATACTCTGTAAGTTGATGATTTGTCATTATATTTATTTTGTTTTGTTCTTGTATTATTACGAAATTAAATCTTATTAATTGTAATTGGCAACTGTTTTGGGTGTCGTAATTTTGTTATTGTATTTATCTATGGTATCATCCTTTGTTAGGCACTGTTTGAACGAGCCATAAAATTTAGAATAGGAGATTAATTTCTCACAATAGAAGCCAGTGCGTAACAATATAGTAGAGTATGTACCCAACAGCTAAGAGGTTGCTACTAAAATTTACCCAAATGGTGGCCCCCGCTATGTAATGAAGACAAGGTAGCCCTTTTCTTACGCAGGATGAAATCCTCAAAAAATAAAAACAACCCCAATACAAAAGTAAGAATACAATACCGAAAAGGTTTGGGATTAAAAACGGAGCACCCACAAAATACAACCACAGATAATATTATGGGTGTCATCTAAAAAATAAATATAAAATTATTTGAACGTCACCTTTTCTTGCCACTGTCCAATATTGGGGTTGAGATATTACTGGAACTCAATGATTCTTTTTGTCCTGCCTTTGGTGATGATTTTGATATTTTAGACTTTGTATCCCTTACTTCTGCTTTAGGCTTTTTGGATGGAGGCGGAGTGTTGTTGGCAAAATCATCTGATAATGAATGGAAGACATAAAGAACATTTTATACAAAGTAATTCATTTCATTTTAAGTGGGTTTTTCTCTCAACACTAAAATATGAAAATGATCTCGTCATTTTTTTTTTACTCAAATGCTAAGAGCAAAATGTAAATCTAAGAAAATGTAAGAAACCTTAAATTTCATTTGAGGGAAAATAAAAGAAGATTAAGACACTGTAATTATTTATAAAATTATCCGGAGTTACTGGCAATTTACAAACAATAACTATATCTTCACTTATGTCCAAATATTGTTATAAATCATTTATTTAAATAAATGAAAGAATGTGATCTGGTAGAGAGGCTGGTGTTTGGGTCCAAAGTAGGTTAAATAAGGATTGTTTTTTGGTCTGTTTTAGAAATTGCTATTTATGGTTCTAGGTAAGATAGTACCCTCCCCTTCGAACATCCACATTTTCAAAGTATTCAAAATTTCAGTTCCACTTCAGTTTTACTTTAATGCCCCTGTTTTGCAATTTGAATAAGAGATAATAATTTAGAAGTTTCAGGCAGAATGTTTACTTTGACTTCACCAATACTAATGTATGTTTCCTACCATCAGAAGTATCCTCAAATCCAGAGTAGTTAACAGGTTTACGGATCCTGAAATAATTTTTCATTGTATCAATAATTAGTTAACAGTAAATGAAAACAACCAAGTTGTACAGTTGGGACAAAAATATGTGTGACTCTCCCATATGGTAAAACTTAATACGAACTTACTTTTAAGCATTGATTTATTGTCTATACATAAGACTTTGGGTTTTCTTTTAATTGTGTGTATCTTAGGTAAAAGGCTAACTAAGTCTACAATGGATCACAATATTCATTATAAACTATGGCTTGCTAATTGCTTATATTACCAAAGAGGGCATTATTCATTGGACAAGAGCAGACTTCAGGTTAATAAAGGTTCAGTCAGATCATATTAGAAATTGCCAATAACATCAAACCCATTAACAAAGTAAATATCAATATCTCCAGGTCAGTTTATGTTACTATTACAGATTTAACTTTGGTAGAGATGTTAATTTTTAAAAAATAACCATATTCTTTAAATAATGTGAACATCGGGTTGTAGATTCTTCTTTACACATAAGAAGTCTATGTGTTACAATTTTTCAAAGATACAGTTTAGGAGCATTCAAAATTTTGACTATATTTTTAATGAAGATATCAATATATCAAATGTGTTAATTGAAGGACACACATGTTTATACAAGTTTATTTAAATATCTTTGATTTGTAGTTAATGGGCGTGAAAAAAGGTTTAGGTTAGCCTCGGATTTAAAAACTTGGCAAATTTATGCAATCTGCACCATTTATTTCCCTTGGCTGCAATCTTGGTTGCCATGACCTGTGGCAACCGAGATGGTCACCATGTAAAAAAAACACACGTCTGCTAAAATGGGTGGGGAAATGGAGAGAATCTGCTGGTTTTGCTATTTACTGAGGGAAACAAAAATAGGAACAAAACGTAAAAAATTGAAATAATTTCAGCCGATATCCCTCTAGATATGCTGCAAAATTTCCTAACACCTGCCATGACCCCCTTTCTCATATAATTTCAGCCGTTACATGCTCCCTTCCCTCAACCAAAACATGTATGCGGCTACAGTTACATACTGTGGTAAGAATATTGTAAAAATAAAGAAAAAACAATACCGTACAAATAATTTTAAAATAATGGAAACCCAACTTTCAGTTTCATAAAATACACTTACTTTTACACACTTTATTTCAGGTTCCACCAAAAAGAAAATCCAAAATTTGTCAGAAAATTAATATAATACAATAATATACCCATGTTTTCTAAAAAACCATAAAATTAAAAAATTATAATTAACCTACCCATGAAATTTTAATTTAAAACTTTCCATCATCACATTTAAGAAAAGTTAACTCTAGTAATCCAAGAATAAACAAAAGGGACAGAATCCTACACAGTAACTCAACGTGGCATGGATTGCGAAAAGTGACCAAAAATTACTCAAATAATTTTAGATTTAAAAGAAAATACCTTTAAAATAATACTTGTTTAGTATTTCCTAAAATAAATATACATTTACAGGCCATGGAAAAGTCATAATTTTAATGGAGGATACAATACATCAAAACCTGATTAAGTAAAAATTGGCGCAAGGAAATGAATGGCTTGTCATACCAATTTTTACCCTAATTCCGAAGCCTAATTAATTAATATAATAATAAGCCATTCGTGTGAGTGTGTGTCATATGTCTTTTTTATAAAGGAATCATCATCATCATAAGTAGCGCTACAGCCCATGTAGGGCCATGGCCTGCCTCACTACATCCTTCCAATTGGAACGATACATGACTTTCCGCCACCATGCGGGAACCCCCAACTAGTGTAAATTCTTCTCTACTTCGTCGATCCATCTCAGTCTTGGGTGACCGGTGAGTTGTCTGCTCCAAGGCTTATGCCTGTATATCACTTTTGCAGCTCTACAATCCGGCATCCTTTCAATATGTCCTGCCCAGCCCAGTCTGCCTTTTTTTATTGCTGGGACTATGGGTGGGTCTTTGTACAATTGGTATAGCTTTTTGTAAGGATTCTCCAGACATCATTTTCTATCACTGGGCCATATAATTTTTTGAGGATTTTCCGCCCCAAGTACTAAACAATCTCTGCTTTTCTGTTAAGGAACCAAGTCTCATGAGCGTAAGTTACTACTGGTCTTATGATAGTGGTGTATATTGTCTTCTTTGTTGCTCTTGAGAGGTTTTTGCTTCCCAGTAGCTTTTGTAGGCTGAAATAGGAACTGGTGTTATCCTTTCTTTCTCCTCCGAAATTATTTTATTGTGCTTGTTTATAGTCGCCCATAGATATTTTAATGTAGCCACGCTCTCAAATTTTTGGTTGTTTATATTAAAGTTGTCATCAGTGTGGGCGTTTTGTGACACTATCAGGCATTTTCAAGTTTCTTTTTATAAAGCCTAAGAAATGTCATCAATTTTGTTATATTCCTAATATAGTCATAAAATTTCAATACATTTTGGGCCCTGTCATTCTTCAGGACTAGACAGTTATAGTAACTATAGCCATAGCAGAGTATAGCACTAATAGCAGACCTGCTTACCCCTACTTACGCTTTTGCCATAGTAACTATGTGTTTAAGTTTAAGCCTAGGCGTAAGACTATGGTACGGTGCAACGATGAACCTAAAAAAACTAGTTTCTGGAGTTTTTCGTTTGGTTTATTTTTAATAACAAATAAATAGTTGGGGTGCTAAGCAGTGGAGCAGATTTCGTGACTTTGTTTTTTTTTAAATTGTAAATCCCCCCCCTCCCCCATCCCACTAATTGACCAAACTATTGTTTGGAACTTGAAACTACGTTTTTGAGAGCTGAAAACTACTCTGACACTAATCCGTGGGTTAACAGGCTTGATTATTATATAATAGATGATTTCTTAAAAAAATAATAATTAAAATAAAAATATTAATATTATATATAGGCTATTGTCAATAGTATTGATTTGATTTGGCTTGGCTAAACTAAACTTTAGTCTAAAGCCAAAGCTAAGAGTAAGCGATATCACCCTGACGTCATTTACGTGTTATTATTAAAGTTGCCGTGAATTAGGGTTCAGGTTAGGTATATATTTAGGCTAAGATTTAGGGTTCAGGTTAGGGAGGTTTAGGGATACATTTACTTAGATTTAAATTTAGTGACAGAATTAACTCTGCATTCATTTACCGTTATTTAGATTTTCGAATAAGTTAATATCATGAATATGTCAAAAAGTATTTTCGTGTAGAAAGTCATACCTGGAAGGCCGACGATCAGACATTTTAATTTGTAAGGGGTTTACAAAAACATATAATTTTATAATTTTAACTTTTGTCAAGTATTGTAATAACCCGCCATTGATTGTTTACATCCGGCTTTCGCCAGAGAATAGAAATAATGGACTGGAAAACGTTTGCTTCTATTTATTATTACCGGAACTGCATAAATTTTCATTCGGTGAAAATTAAATTACTGAACTGTTAATGTTATGCTTTTAAATAGCTATTTGAATGTATGCCGTTCATTTAAAAATAATTATGATAATCATTTAGCAATAATATTCATTTTTGCTACTTTGCGTGTTTAAGATCAACCTAAAAACTTGAATATACGAGCAAGCAAACTTTATCTATAATACTATACTGTAGAGTATAGTACAGATAGAGTCGGCGTTTAAGCCGTTTGAGTGAAATATTAATTACTATGAATATTTACAGCCCGAATAGCGAAAAATGACAATCAAAGTTTACATATAACCATCAGTCAGAATAGTTTTTAACTTCCATCCGCTTAAATTTCGTTAAACCATAAAAAGTATACCTATCTCTTCAAACGCTTTTTAAAATCCTTCATATTAACTTTGCTTTTTTTGTGTTTAGCGCAAAATCTTCGGACGGCTTACTGACCATCTTCCCGTCAACCTATCGAGCTGAAACTTGGCACACAGACCTATTGCCGATGACAACACATTCTTCAAATTTGTTAGCCCCAAACCCCCAAAAAATCAAAATTTCCTGGTTTTCCAGGGGAAGATGAAGGAAATATGATGACACTGATTTCACGAAATAAAATTACCCACATCTGCGCTAAATGAGATTCTTTACACACACACACACATACAAAAAGAAAAAAATATCGCAAGTGCGTTTGGCGAGTAATAGTTTCTTTCATTTTTCTAAAATATTTGCTGAAATAAATCTGCGATGTTAAAGCGGTCATTAGAATAATAATGTAGTTTAGGGGCGTTAAAAAATTGTGAGCCTTTGGGGGGGGGGGGGGCAATAATTGGGATTCTTGTAAAGTGCGTTACTTGCATGCATGTTTTGTCAAATTTTCGTCACATGTGCCAGTTGCCGACCGATAGGGTTGCCCAACCCGATCTTAGAAGTCTGGGCAAACAGATGTCATCGCAAATAATCATTCCCTAGGTATGTATGGCTGTAACGCTGTGTTTAATAAGCGCGCAAACTAAAATTCAAGAAGTTATATTAATAATAATTGGGATTCTTCTACGGTGCGCTACTTGAATGCATGTTTTGTCAAGTAACTGCATCAGATGGGCAGATCACGCATTACCGGGGCCATAGTTTGGCGCGTTATTTCTACGTATCAATCCAGTTTTTTTTTTCTTGTGGGCGAAAAAATTGGGGGGTGGGGGGGTGGGGGGGCGGGGAGTTTAAAGGTTAGTTCATGGAACAAAGAGGATTGTGTTGGGGCAAAATGTTTATAAAAACGTAATCACGATCCAGTAAAAAAAAAAAATTATAATAACGTGTTAAATATGTTTTTTCAGCACCCTTTGCATCTAGTTTAAAAAAAACAATAAGAACATTTTTTAAACAAATTTATTGGTAACAATAATATTTATTGTATCACATGATTACAGACAAAGCGAGATGACAAGTTAAAATTTTTTATTTTTTTTTGAGATTCCAATATATTATTTAATTGTTTCTTTAATCAGGCAATTAAAAACAAAAAAGTCTGACTTAAAATGACAATGTCAATACTGTGTAGTCATACTTGTTAGATGCAATAGCAGTATATCAACATATTAGATTCACATTCCTTCGGTAAAACAAAATGTGTGCACAGGTAATAAGTTTTAAATAAAAATCGTTACAAATAATGTACACCTTTATATTCACCTTAAGATTTATCACAATAACGATAAGAAGATGAACGTTTATATTTAAGTATCGAGTATATTCAAATGAAATGTGGAATGTTTTGTGAAGTAGCCTGGGGAAAGGAGGTTTGGTACTTTTGCTTACGTCAATATTACGTCATAATATAGTTTTTGTAGTTAGAGCACACGTCAATGTAACACGGAAATGGGGAGGGAAAATCATGTTTGGATGAAATGTTTGCATTGTACTGTAAGCAAGCAGTTTGAAACACACAGGGATCCACTCTTGACATAGGTATCTAGTAAGAAACGAACACAGTGGTCTTAACGCTCTGTAGCCCCCCCCCCCCAACCCCCAAATCTGTATTGCCAAGACAACTAGTTGTACATAGACGACTGGTTACATTTTTACACATTGTTACCAGCACGACTGGTTACATTTTTACACATTGTGCATATTTGTGTGTGTGGGTATTTGTTCGTCGAAGTACTCGCAAATAAAAACACAACAGCAGCACAAATTTAATTTGTGAAAGAGTTTTACAATAATTATATACAGGCAAATAGCATGGGTTAACGAGAACCAAGACATACAAGGAATAGCATGGGTTAACGAGAGCTAAGACATGCAGGGAACATAATGGGTTAACAAGAGCAAAGACATACAGGGAATAGAATGGGTTAACGAGAGCCAAGACATACAGGGAATAGAATGGGTTAACGAGAACCAAGACATACAGGGAATAGCCTGGGTTAACGAGATCCGATACACTAGGCCATACACTATCTGAAGGCACTACTCTCTTCTTAATATTTTTGATGTTTATAACATGACTTTGTGATTGCTCTTAAAAAAATGGACAACAAATTTAAAATAATACTACAGCAAACTCAATAGTATGACATCAAACTCAATAGTATGACATCAAACTCAATAGTATGACATCAAATTCAATAGTATGACAGCAAACTCAATAGTACGACATCAAACTCAATAGTATGACATCAAACGCAATAGTATGACAACACACTCAATAGTATGACATCAAACTCAATAGTATGACATCAACCTCAGTAGTATGACATCAAACTCAATAGTATGACATCAAACTTAATAGTATGACATCAAACTCAATAGTATGACATCAAACTCAATAGTATAACATCAAACTCAATAGTATGACATCAAACTCAATAGTATGACATCAAACTCAATAGTATGACATCAGACTCAATAGTATGACATCAAACTCAGTAGTATGACATCAAACTCAGTAGTACGACATCAAACTCAATAGTATGACATCAAACTCAATAGTATGACATCAAACTCAATAGTATGACATCAAACTCAATAGTATGACAGGGAGACAACCCCTAGCTACGCCACTGAGTTACTTTTTTTTTATTTACATCGATTTAAAATCTTTGCTAAATAATATTTATATATATGACCACAGTTACAGAAAAAAATGGTTCCCCCTTCCCCCTCTGTACATCATTAGAATGAGACAAGTTCCCTTTGAGCACCAATGAACACATGATATCTTCACACAAAAAACGATTACCCCCACACAAGAAGTCATCATCTGACCTGTCCAAACTGGAATGTTTACACATCACATCCACGATAAATGCAAAAAAATTGTCTTGGCCTCAGTTACTTCAGATTGTTTCCTACGTTGTTGATTTGTTGTTGTGGTTGTTGTAAGTCCTGTATCCTAATTTAATCTCTTTCGGAGACTGTATTTTTTCCAACGAAGCAAGAGCATCCAATGGGGACCTTTTCCCATCGCAGGTCGTAAGTGTAAACACCTAGTTTAGAAATGACGACAAAAATAGTTAGGATTGGGCATTGGGGGACGACAACATCACTGAATGGCCGAGGCCATGACCTTCTATACTAGGGGGTCAGCAACCTTTTCATGGCAAAGAACCAAATTTTAAATTGGGATCTAGTAACTAGTAGTATCCAAGAGCTACATGAAGAAGATGTAAGAGCCAAATATTGCATTGTGATCTAGTAACCAGTAGTATCAAAGAGCTACACGAGAAAGAAGAAAATGCCGCAGGTTCCCGACCCCCTGTTCTATACCATTCCCCAAAAGTGGCAAACGACAGAGAAAAGTGTGTGTGTGTGTGGGGGGGGGGGGTACTGAAACGACCCAAACGACTCCTACAGATGTAACTAGCGGTAACGGTTTGACAATAGTTTTGTTCTTCTTATCTTGGTTATTCCTTCAGAGGAAGTGCGTTAGTCTCTTATTTAGGTCTATGTGATTAGAGATGATGTAAATAAGGATCACTTACCATTCTCGCACCCATTTCTTCGAAAGACCCGCATTTCTCGATACACATTGACACAATCCGTCACCCAAATGGAATCTGGAGATGGTTGGCTTTGGGAGTTGCAGCACCTGCAAGAAGTTAAACCAGTTATAAATTGTTTGATATGCTTACGATAAAATGAATGCAGGAAACTTTAATTTTTTTTTTTTTTTTTAAAGTTGAAAGCTATCAACTGTCAAATTTAAATGAAACGCGTTCAGTATATGGCACTTTACCAACAGTATATATATATATATTATAGCTAAATGACCAGCATATCTTACAGGACAACGAAAAATGCGACATTTGAACGAGGCATCTCATCTTTCGTGATCATCCAATTAGAGACCCCATATTTTATGAGGCTATGTGGTGGTTTTTTTTTTTTTTTTTTTTTTTTTTGGTTTTTTTTTTTTTTGGGGGTAAAGGTGTTTGTGTGTGGGGCCCCCCGGGGGGGGGGGGTTTTTTTTTTTTTTTTTTTTTTTTTTTTTGTTTTTTTTTTTTTTTTTTTTTTTTTTTTTTTTTTTTTTGGTGTTATTTTTTTTCGGGGAGAAAGGTGTTTGTGTGTGTGGCCCCCCGGGGGAGGGGGGTTTTATTTTCTTGGTGTACGATAGAACCAGTTCAGAGCATAGCTTAAAATTTAAAATATGAAGATGTACATTGCCGGGTGATGCATTGTTCATATCTTTTTATTGAATCATTGTAAAAAAAAAAAAAGTAAAGAAAAAACATCATAATCTTACGTGGATGGGGAGAAGATGTTAAGAAATTATCTTTGTAAAGTAGATGTGTTAGGGATATGTTAGAAAGTATCTGTGTATAGAAGATGTGTTAGAAAGTATCTGTGTAAAGTAGATATGTTAGAAAGTATCTGTGTAAAGTAGATGTGTTAGAAAGTATCTGTGTAAAG